AATTTTCTATATTTTTCTAAGGCTACTGCTATGGGCAGTACGCCCATCATCTGTACCATCTAAGAGAGGAGTCAGATCTACATAAGATATGCTCATGATGATATATGCAAGTACCACATAGAAAGCCTTGTTCTTAGAGAAGCAAGAACACTGGATCCAAGTCTTGAGACACTCAGGGAAAAGAAAAAATGAGGCAATTTAGTTAAAACCATTTAAAGGAGCAGTTTTAGAAGAGCTGGATGAAAAATACGCTTCCCGTGTTCTAATTCTGCCTACTTTCCCTAACAACCCAGAAAACGTTCCAAAGCTTTGTAGAGAGGGGAAATGAATACATGCAGCAGCTCAGTGGCATCACAGCGAGCCTTAGAAATAACACAACATTTTAACAGAGCAGCAGCTTAGTTTTGCAAAAACATGGAGTCAGCATGAGCAGCCCTGGGAGAAAACACACCATAAATCCAAGAATTACATGCAAAGCCTTTGTGAGCTTCATTCATGCCCCGTTTCTCATGCTGACTTAGGAGAAATCACAGAATCCAACCCCCTGCCACGGGCAGGGACACCTCACACTAGACCAGGCTGCTCCAAGCCCCTGCATCCAACCTGGCCTTGAACACTGCCAGGGATGGGGCAGCCACAGCTTCTCTGGGCACCCTGTGCCAGCACCTCAGCACCCTCACAGGGAAGAACTTCTGCCTTAGATCCAACCTGAGCTTTCCCTGCTTCAGTTTGAACCCATCCTCCCACAAAATCCAGCAGTGAATCTGCAGAAATAAATGTGGCAAGACCAAAACTGAAGCCCTCAGAGTTGCAGGAAAATTATTCCAGTCCCAAGGGACAAACATGGATCTTGCACCACTAAGCACAGGCACATGTCCCTTGGCTCTGCTCCCAAGCTCGCAAACATGCAGTTTCCACTCGAAACATCTCTTGCAGCCTCTGGCCCCTTGGGATGCAACGCTTGGTGCACAGCACAGCAGAGCCTTGGCAAAGTGTTTTAGCACTACCATGTGCTTTTCCTTCAGGATACTCCATCTCCAGCACCCCGCAGCTTTGCAACCAGGAGGGAGATGCTTTTGCAGCTCAAAGCAGAAGACCACTTTTGGCTGTTGGCTGTTCCTGCGTGAACTGCAGAGGTTTCTAGCACGTTAGTAATAACCTGGCACGGTGGCTGCAGCGTTTATTGTGTGAGTAACTAGAGACAAGGAAAACAAGCAGCACAGCGCAGGAGGAGAAACAGACACCACATATTTAAACCGTTTCCCCAGCAGCACAAGCTTTAACCCTGCTCTCAGTCATGTGTGTAACCCATTTCAATCCATGCTGGCGTCTAGATTGGGAATAAGGATTTTAAGGACTTCTGGGAAGCAATCCTGTTCTTCCCTCCCAAAACAATCATCATGCACCTGCTCTGAAGATTATTTGCTAACCAAGGCAATGAGCAAGGTATGGCTGTGGTTGTACTAATGCTGGATTAGGCAGGGACATACTTTCTCTCTCCCAGCCTGACCTCACTAATCCCTTCATAGCACATATTAAAAATGAGCAGAAGTATTCAAAGTTGCATCCTGATCTAATATTTTGGCTGCTTGCCCCACGGTCAGCAGGGTGTGAGGTTTTGCCTTAAATATAAATTAAAGGGGGGTGGAAGGAATGCACAACTGCTGAAGGCATTTCGTGACTGTTTAATGAAACCTTTTTAAAAATATATTTACACAAAATCTCTCACCATTATTTTAGAAAGTGAGAATTTTGTATTTCAAATTAAAGCGACACCTGTTTCTGCTTTCCCATCATGCAGCTATTTTCACCTAAAAAAAACCCAAAGAGCTCAGAAAACATCACAGAATCCCAGACTGGTTTGGGTTGGAAAGGATCTTAAGATCATCCAGTTCCAACCCCCTGCCATGGGCAGGGACACCTCACACTAGACCACGTTGCTCCAAGCCCCTGTGTCCAACCTGCCCTTGAACACTGCCAGGGATGGGGCAGCCACAGCTGCTCTGGGCACCCTGTGCCAGCGCCTCAGCACCCTCACAGGGAAGAACTTCTGCCTTAGATCCAACCTGAACTTCCCCTGTTTCAGTTTGAACCCATCATCCCTTTGTCCTACCATCTTTCGCTCTTCCCTATTACATACTTTTGAACAAATACTGAAAAGAGAAGACATACATCAATAAATATAAAATACTAAACGCTCCCGTTTCACTAAGACACATTATTGCAACCACGGGGGCAGTAGGACAAGGTTGACCTGTTACCACTGCGATGCTGTCGGATATACCCTGTTTCTCCCACTACTGCCCTCCGTATCAGCTCCTGCAGTGCCAGAGGAGGAAGCTGGGCTGCGTGGCCTGCCCCGAAGCGATCTGCAGAACAGCTCTTGCGTGTTAGAAGAAATGTGTTAATCTATTTTAAGATAAAAACCAACAGCAAATAGAAAAGGCAAAGCACAGTAACAATTTGTCTGTTAAGGGGAAGACACAAGAAGCGTTGCTAGCAGGAACCATGGTTAAGGCAGACTTTCCATACAGCAGTTCTCTGCACTCTTTTCTGCTTGAAGCATCATTTAGCTTGGCAAAAGAAGTACCTTGCTTCTGACTGAGTTTGTCCTTCAATTTTTGGCCACGTTAAATCAGAACTAGCATCTGAAATGACGGAGTCCTGCCTGAGGAAATGCTTTCCATGAGCAGATGGGTAAGTCTGCCTTGCTCACAGTAATACATGCATTTAGTATCATTCAAATTCCATCAAATTGTACCACCAAGTCATACAGTGCAAGTAAAACCGAGGACCCCCGGTTACCCACACACAGCACAGATATCAATGGACATTTCTGCAAGCTGGGATGATGCTTCACTTAAAATGAAACCAGTTGGACTGAAAATATCCATACTATATAATGCTGTTTGAGAATGTGCAGCTGTTTGAAACAAGAAAAACTCAGTAATTGCATACTTTTTCACAACAGTCAAAATGCCAGAACAACCAACCTTCCTCCGGACTACACAGTGAATAAGGGTAATTAAAATAAACCAAAATTGGAATGTGCACCAGTGGAATTCATAATCAAAACAAGTTTTAAAGCAATGATCTGTACAGAGATGCATTCACTTGTAATGGTCTGGGTGACTAAAGCCTTGATTTTGCGTCAAGACAGCTTTAGGGCTGCACTGTACCAGCTCAAGTTGCCACCTGCACATCTTTAAGTCTAGAAGATTAAATCTAAACTCTTCCTGAACCTGTCTTCATGAAAGGAACATTTATGAAAGGCCACGTTTCCTTCACAGACTCTTCCCATCAAGGTGCAAATGCAGCTTGTGGGTCCCTCCCTGTAATTCTGCAGCAGACATCACAACCTTCTCCTGATAACCCACCCTGAGCAAGCAGGACTGTAGGAACAGCCCTCTTTCTTACACAGCAGAGCAGTTACTAACAGACTCCTGAAAGTGGTGAAATAAACCCACCGATTAATAGATCAATGTACAAGAGATTAACCCATTTTTAAACATAGAAGTTGACTACTCAGTTAACCTTCATGTGCCTGCTTACATACAGAAGTGAAAGCTCAGAAAACCATGACAGACTTTTTCCAACATTTGAAGTGAAGAAAAAGTAAGAACAGCAAACAAGTTTTTGGAAAAGTTTTATTGCATTTGTTTTCCATATGGAAGCATTGACAGATTGAAAAGATGCAGCATTCACATTACTTCCAAAATGAGACATCCATTTGGTTTCTCCTTCCCTGATTTCCCTCCCTTCCCCCATGGCTTTGAAGCAATCTAAAAAAAAAAAAAAAACCAAAACCATTTTATTTTAAACCAAGGAAAGCAAAGATTCCTTGGAAATCATGGATACAGCTGAGTCATATTTTTCCTTTGTTTGCAATTCATTTGATGAGCCCACAGGAATCACCATCCAAAAATACAATAAAGCTCCTGCCTGAACACAAGCTGTCAGTTGTAGTTAAGAATGGGTTAGTTCTACCTGGTTTTGGAATGCCTTCTGTCCCTCCCATTTCCATCACCACACAGCTCATATGGGTATGCATGCTCCTTACCATAACTATTTCCCAATTTAAAACATTTACACATACATGTGTGTGTGTTTACACGCCTGCACATGTATGCATAAGTATGAGAGAAAGATTTACAAAGCTCTAAACCAGGGCAACGCTGAGAATACAGAATCCATCACCCCAGTGCACCTACACGTCCCATCAGTATCAGTCTTTATAGTGATCTGGGCATTCAGGTCAGTTTTTCACGTTAACACTGTTTAGCAGGCATTGCTCTAACAAGTCATTACCAAGACAAACACACACAAACAAGATGATTCTGCTATTCTAAACACTTGAAAATTAGATTTCTTTCTTTCCTGCAAAGTGTAAGGCATTTAATAATCCAAAGAGTCTTCTAAATCTGCCACAGTTATCCTAAGAGGGTAACAATCTCCTGCACACCAGGGAGGGAACAGACAAAACAATGCAGAAAGATGGAATCAGTTCTGTGCCTGGAAGGAAAAAGGAGGGTGGGGTGGGAAATGGTGTTGGCAACATTTAAGTACTGTATGTGGTCACCAAGTCACCTGGCTCTCTTGCAGTGCTGCGTTCTTGTCTTGCACCTTTTAGTAAGTGAAGTGTCTGCTTCCCCGGTCAAGTTCACTTATGAAAGAGCAATGTGCTCCTTCAGGAAGTCCAAAGGTATCTGTGAAGGGCTGTTGGCACTCATATGTCTTCCAAAGAGCTCACCGCAGTCAGGAGGACAACATGAGAATCTACTCAGAAGAGGCGGGGCACAACAGAGAAAGAGGATCCCCTTCACATTAGTTATGCCATACAGAAAGCAGAGAGAAACAAATGCCAGGAAAGTTAATAAAATTAAAATACCAAAAAAAGGAAAAAAAAAAAAAAAAGGAGAAAAAAAAAAAAAAAAAAAAAGAAAAAAAAAAAAAAAAAAAAAAGGAGAAAGAAAAAAGGGGGGGGAAATTATAAGAAAAGCAGCAGCAGTTTCAGCCAGAGATCTTGAATTATCTGATATTGTGAAATACAGGGCCTTTTTTTTTTGACTCTGCAATTATCAGCCATTGAATAGACATAAAAAAAGTTTGTTTTGCTTTTTGTTTTAAACATTCATGGAAAATTTGTAACAGTAGTGCTGTAATATGTTTCTATTTTAGTGGAAATGCTGGTCAGGAATTCCTCAGACCACATACTGGTACGGGTCTGCTTTTCCTTGGTCTGGTGTTGCGAATGGGCTAAGCCATGCTATAGAGAACGGATGGCCAAATACTGCTTTCATGTTCATCCATTTTGTTTTTTTAGCCCATCTTCTCTCTTCCTTTTTCAACTGTTCTATTCCCTGAAAACAGAAATATCACATTTTCAGTCAAACACTCAGATTTTTGTAGTTCTGGATTTGGGGAAAGGTCTACTCTCAGTTACCCCTTATCCAAAGGCTGGAATAAGAAAATAAAAATGCATCTATCCTGCCTTTCCTTTTCTTCTCATTGTTTTATATTAAAAAAATAGTAAGGATAGAAAGTATTCCTCAGAAATCAAATTTCATTTTGTTCAGGCCCAGCTATTTCATAAACCTTTCAAGACCTGCCATCCAATTGCCTCTCATGTCAATTTAAAGTCCCCACCACCTAAACTCAACCAAAAAGGATGTGCTTTAATGGCTGAACATTGTGTACTAATCAGATGGAATAGTTCAAGAGGAAACCATTGTAAGCTTGCAAACAAAAAAAACAAATCCCAAACCACAAACCCAAAGATAATCTCTATAATGCTCCCAGATTCACCAAGCAAGTTCAGGAAGTGCCCATGGCTCAGTGTAGCTGAGTCTACCTGGTGCCTCTTCATGTTTCATTAGAATCACTGCTAAAACATGCAAGGGCTGCCAGCAGGGAGAGGAGGTTAAATAAGATACTGATTTGAGAGAAATCATTGTCATTGTTTAGTAAAGGTTAGAGGGAGAATAAAAACAAGCCATCAAGCAGTCAGCTGAAACATTCCCTAGTCAATCATTAAGAAAAAATAAGAGTTATCTGTATTGTGTCTAAAACCCACAAGTGAGTTTGGTCTTCCAGGGAAGCTATGCCTGGCTGCCTCAGAAGCACAATGAATGCAGTCACTGGAGAGCATTACTCTTCCACGGGTAGCAGCACCAGGCAGATCACTCTGTTCTTTAACTGCGCATCTTTTGCAAGGTAAGCTTCTCCTGACCTACATGTTTCTCCCCTGCCACAGATTAATGCACTGTAATACATCTGTGTGTCTCAAATTACTGATTCTGGGAGCTCTGCAGAACACAACACGGGTCAACTGCAAGTTGTGCTGATCCCTGGTAAATGTCACCTCTAGAGACACCAGGAAAATATGAGGTTCTAGGTCCCTTCAGGCAGAAAGGAACCATCCCTGTGGGAAAGCATACACAAGATGGGGAAAATAAAGGTGAGAAAGGACAAGACACAGTGCTGGCTCTAAAATGTGAAGTAAAACACTGCAAGAGACCACACCGAAAAGAATTTCACCTGGAAATATTCCTCTGCTTAAAATGGATTGCTTGCCAGACACAGCTAGCTCAATGCTAGCAAACCAACAGTAAGATATTCCACAGAGCAAAGTCGCTGGTATATATTAAAACCAAAAATGAAACCCCACAACCCAACAGGGGCAGACCATATTTCATTTTTATTTTAGAATGGGGTGGTGTTCCTTTAACCTCTGTGAGTTCCCAGAATTTGAGGGGAAAGGAAAAATCAGGGGACTCACTGCCCAGCTGTAAGAAGCAGCTTCTGAAAGTTCTCAAGAGGTTTCAAAGACTGAGAAATTCCAATGATGGTTTCACAGGCAGCATTGCTAATTTACACGCTTATTGATAAACTCAAGCTTGGCAGGATCTTGTTGTTCTGTATGACACTATACTTCTTCCTAGGGCTCTCCTCAGCAGAAAGAACAACTCTTTCTTGTTCTGAAGTCTTCCTCTGAACACACAAGAGCCACGGTGTGAACATCAACTCTTGCAGAAGCCAAGCATTAAGAAAAGCACTGCAAAAAAGACTTGGGAGTGATGGGTTCCTACAGTCTATAATGCCAGTCACATCTCTCCAATGGCAGCAAAAATACTTATTCTAGCTTCAACTGGCCATGGGCAATCAAGTGAAGGAGAAAGAAAACTGAAGGAGGCAGGGAAGGAAGAGCTGTCACTCTTTTCAGATTACCACTTCTCTCCAACCACTGCAGGTGTCTGAGCATGCTTGGTGAAGGTTGGCAGTATGCACAAGAGTGGGAACATCCCCAGGAGTCACCAGCTCCATCTTTACAGAAGTGAGCAAATGCAGGGATATACAATGGACTGCAACAGTGCTATGTAACCTCTACTGTGCCATCTTAGGACTGAGGATGACAGCAGACTGTACCCACCAGGCTTCCATGAGCCTACTCCACTCCCTTTCTTCTTCACTCTGGCAAGTGTTTTTGAACTGCTTAACATGGAAAGAAATGGAACTCTTCTGGACTAAAAGAAGTGTGTGTATGGGGTCTGTGTGCTTATATCTATATATCTCCCTCCCCCACCTACTCATCTTGGCTTTCCAGCACATAAAACTGTAAATAGTGACACCAGGAGAAACACAGCTGAATTTCAGACACCACCAATGGAAAAGAACGTAATTAAAGGAAAAAGGTTCTTGAATCCACAGGGACAAATATTTCCTACAGAGTAATCCCAGTTATGAGTGCCTACCTTGTCAGAGGTACCGTCAACACAGCATCCCAGCCAGTACACAGGTGTACACTACTTCTCACAGCAACCTTTAGAGAGCATGATCCAGCATTATGCCAGCTCAGTTTATTACACTGGGTCTTTCCTCAAAGGGTACACATACATGAACTCCTTGTACAACATTCAAGTAGAATCATAAAATCATCTGGGTTGGAAAAGACCTTTAAGATCATCAAGTCCAACCGTTGCCCAGCACTGCCAAGGCCACCACTAACCCATGTCACTGAGGGCCTCATCTACATGTTTTAAGCCCTTCATTGTTTCTACAAATGATGAGAGACAGGGTAAAGGAGCGTGTGAGACACCCACCGTTTCATCAGTGCAGATGGAGTGTACTTGGGTCCCAAACATAACCGAGGTGAAGATGAGGAATAGGAGAGCCTCAAAACACAAGAGGATGAGAAGAATCACTGTAGTTGGCGGAGAGAAGGAACTGCATTCTGTGAAGACAAAGCAACAGAGTTGGAATGGAAGAAGTCAGGTAATGCAGCAGCTGCAAAACACATGCTAAAAAATGAGTTTTCCATACTCAAACTGTCATAATAAAGGATATGACCACTACTCTCAAAAAGGTGCACAGGAAAGCTCTGATATTCTTCAGGATATTCAACAATGAAATGATCACTCCTGCAAGTTTAGAAAGAAAGCAAAACCAACAAAAAACAACCTTGCCGCACTTCAAGAATGCAACTTCTTTTCCCTTTAAGTGCCAGCACACTGGCCAGGACTCCACCCTGAAGTCCATCCATTTCACATGTAGCTTCTCTCTTAAACCTTAATCTTCATGGATTTTCCACAGTGATAAAGTCCATTAGAAATTTCCAGCTGGTGGTCAGGACACAAGGGTAATTATTTCTGTAGCACCAACATAAAACCAGAGCACGCTTCCTGTTGCAACTGCTCTGTTGTAGCCTAAAGAAGGGCAGACTAAGCCAAATTCTAATTTTATTTCATTCTTTATAGTGCAAACTAAAGTAAGAGCTGAAAAAATACTTGAGAAGGTAACTATGAAAGAGGAACAGAAGAGAGGAAGAGGAAGGAAAATGTTACCAGGCAGGAAAAAAAAAAAAAAAAATCACACTGTTGTGCTTGCTGAGTGTTGTAAATGTCAGAACATCTCTGAAATCCAAGAACGAGTATCACCAAACTCACCTGCTTTTTCTCATGAGATGTTAAGCCTTAACAGATACACCAGAATCAGGGGCCAATACCATCAGCACAAATCCAAGGCAGCTGGAACAGCAAACCCATCTCCCATAACAACTCTGTTCTGGCCCCTAAACCTGGACCAGGTGGGAAAGTGCTTCTCTTATAGATAAAGGCTCTGGGAAAGCAGGCAAAGGAAATTATCCTTTGACGTATCCTTCCCCTATGGCCACTGTAGTCAAATCCAGATGTTCTCAGTAACAGCTGGCAGCTGTTTTACCAAGTTCTGGACTGCAGAATCACCTTGTCAAATTCGGTTCATATGTGTAAATGTACCCATCCTCTGCAGTATGATAAACTAAAAGAAGTCATTAGATTGAATGACTAATGACTTGAATTACCAAGAAAAACAAAGCTAATGCTTTTCCAAAACAATCCATAAGCAGCACATACAGCTGCACACATATGCTCTGACAGCCTCCTATTTGATTCAGCATTACTTAGATGATTTCCTACATTCATTTGTGTTTTTCAATACACATCTCAACTGGCTTTGTGAACATTTGCTCACTGGCTGCTCCAGAGAGAGGGTTGGGATTTTTGTCTGTGGCCTTTTCTGTTCAGTTGTTGTTCGGGTTTTGGTTTGCTTCTTTTTAATTCTCCTTTTTCTTGGGGAAAGGAATTGTTTGTTCTCATGAGCATGGATTTTTGGATCTGAGTTAGCATGTTTTCCTGGCAGTCTTGCAAGAATGATTCACATTCCCCTTGAAAAAGAGCAGACACATCCTTCTTATCTTGTGCTGGCATTCAAAAAATCAGTGCTGAGTTCATGACACAGGTGATTATTGCAGAGTCAGGAACTGGCACAGGTTGCCCAAAGAAGTGGTGAATGCCCCATCCCTGGCAGCGTTCAAGGTCAGGTTGGACACAGGGGCTTGGAGCAACCTGGTCTAGTGTGAGGTGTCCCTGTCCATGGCAGGGGGTTGGAACTGGATGATCTTAAGGTCCTTTCCAACCCAAACCAGTCTATGATTCTATACACTATCTAGGTGTGTCTGTATCTCACCTTCTTCCTAGGTAGTATCGGACTTAAGCTGAAACAGGACTTTTCAGGAAAGACATCGCAGCATGTCATAAAGGACTGATCATAAAACAAGTTGCATAGCAGAGCCCTCATAGAATTCTTCTGAAACCAACATAAAAAGGGGTTGTCTTACAAGCAAGCTAGTTGTAAGGTCTTATTCATGGGCTAATCTGGTATTTTAATGAGTTTTTTTGTTAGTACTCACTTGTCCAGTCTTCTTCAAAGCAATACAAGAAGTGAAATCCCACCATGATTAGAGCATGCAGGGAAATCAGTGCTATATACATCTGAAAAAGAAAGGATGTAATATAGGCATCAGGTAAGTTTAAAGACTAAAATGCTAAATCTTCCAAACACTTTAAATAAAGCAAAAGTGTTAAGATTTTGAAAAACCCCAAACCACCCCAAAACCCACCAAGCCCCCCCATCTCCCCTAAACAAGCACCCTGAAGCTGGCCAAGACTATACAGACTCATTCTGCCTTTACTAACAGCCTTACAACAGTGAACAGAAGGGAGACTGCTTAACTCGAAGCCAGCTGGATACAAACCCAGCTCCTGCACCCAGCACAGGTAACTTGTCTTTATCTCTGCTGAGCACAGCACAGCTTTCAGAGAGAAGCAACACTGACATCAAGGCATCATGTTGTCAGAGCTCACATCTTTATCCTTGAGATCACTATAGCTTCCCAGAGAAGCAACAGCTAATCTGTTTTAACCACAAAATGCCACTTTAAGCGCTTTATTTTCTAGCATGAGTTTCAGAATTTTAGTATCTTTTTTTTAAATAAGTATTTTGCCCGAGGCAGACACTGGCATGGAAAGTTTCTCTCAAGCTTTAATACTTTGTATTTAACCCTTTCTGGTTGAAATTGGGTCTTAGCTTTGTAACAAAAGATTTAAACTATATGCAATGCTACACATACACTACAATTTACCAAGACAGGGCTAAAAAGGTGACTCTCCTGAACCTACAGACTCTGACAAAGGCCAGCAGATATTAGAAGCGAGAGAGATCTTGCTACAAGAAACTCCTGTGGAAGCAGTAAAAGGTGCTAGGAGAGCATTTTGGTTTACCTTGCAGATTGAATGTGCTGCCATTCTTTCACCTTCTCAGGTCTCAAAAATAACCATGAACAAAACCAGCAGTCTTTGTTTTGTTTCTCTCAACTACACGAAGTGTTTAATACAGCCTGCTTAAAAGCAGATGTCAGTTTAAGCAGAAACAGAAATCCTTTTGCTAGGATTAAAACACCTAGCTCATTCCTCATGGTGAGAAAAAGCCTTGCTCAAGGGAAAGAAACAGGATTTGTTTTGTTCTGCAACTCACATCCTAACAAATCACACCACAGAACAGTAAACCTTTCCATTTAACTGAAAAATCTGCCCCTCATGCTTGGTAATGTAAGAACATTCCTCCTCAAACCTACAGATGTCTCAAAAGATTTATTAATAAAGCAGAGCATCACTGAATCCCAGACTTGTAATGTTCACACTACACCCACGGGGTATCTGCAGTTCACTTTGATGAAACAGATTTCAACCCCTCCAGAAATATGTAGTACTCAAGTCTGCATTCCTCTTTTCTTACTCGTGATGCCACAGATATAGTACAAAAAGTCAAACACATCCTTGGTTTTCAAGTATGAAAATAAACCACTTGCAAATAAAAGGCGGATAATTCTTGCCAAAGAGACTGCAGACTTCCCACTCCCCACTTAAGATGTGGCAACAGCTCTTATTGTATGATCCCACACAGGTACTCATACAACTACAACAGTTAGGAACCCTGCGTATGGCCTGGGACCCTACCAGCCACAGCACGCTTTAAAAGTGGAGCCCACGCCTCAAAGAGCTCAATGCCACAATAAACTACTCATATTCAAAATAGGTGTTGAACAACTGCCAACACAAAGCTCGCAACACCTTGGTGAGTATTTCCTGTGATGCCTTTTTCCCCTTGTTGTGTATGTTCCCTAGTAAGTGAAACCGAAGTCTGTAGCAGTTCCCTGTAAATCCAACCTTGGGGGAAGAAATCCAACCTTGAGAGGTGTTTCAGAGACTACACACAGCCTTTCAGCGCTGCCTACTGGCCAACCTTAAACACCACTTGCAAAATACTTACTGTAAACAGTACAAAGTACTTCTGGTTATTCTCTCCTACACAGTTATTGACCCACGGGCAGTGATGGTCCATTTTCCGAATACACCTCTTGCAAACACTGAAAGAATACAGGTCTTTTATTTATAGCACATTTCATTCCAGGAACACAAGATTTCACAGGGGTTTGGGGCACACAGAGATTAAAGGAAAGAATCAGAGGTGAAATCTGTACTTAAATAAATGTACTGGTCACCATGTTCATCTTTTTGGCTTGCTCACTTGACGATGTCTGTTCAAAATGAACCATACAATACCAAATCACCACTGTAACACATTAAATCCAAGTAAGACACATTAGCATAATATTCACATCAGTGCCTCTGCCACAGTATGCTTTGAACAATGCATTCAGGCAGAGGGAAGAAAAAAATATCCGTGATTTAGTTTAGTTTTAACCTATTTGGTCTGTGAACACTTCCACAGATTAAAATCAAACAAAAAACAGAAAGACAGGACAAGCTACAATGAACAAAGATCTTTTTCAGAGTTGCTAGTAACACAGTAAGGTTTATTTACCAACATTAGTCCTCTGCAGGAATTTGCCAAAAAGAAAGTTAAATAAAGCATTAGGAAAGATTCTTGACATCAAGGTAAGCCACATACTAGCAGCAAACAGCTGTGGCAGCAAGTCAGGAAGCCAGTACCACAATATACATTCAAGGTAAAATGAGATGTTAAAGCACTTGACAAAACCAGACTAATAACATCTAAATTCAAACTCTTGCCAGAATGCACACTGTGGCTCCAAGTCAAAGAATTCAAAGGTTATGACTGTATGAACATCATCCTCCTGCTTAGTCAATAACTGCTTTAACTCCTATAATAAAGGAAGTCTTTTTCTCTGCTGCTTCCTCATATGATAGGAGACAAAAGGCAGTCTCCTGATACCACATTACACAAACAAGCACAGAAATCAAATATGAAAACACCACAAAACCCCAAACCAAACCCAGAAAGGAAACAGCCATTCCAGAACAATTCTGGCAGCACTCAAACAGTCTCAACATTAGGCTCTGCTAGTGTTGGTTTTCTTCTTATAACAAACAATATTTTGATCTTAATATAACCAATAAACTTCAACAGCTAAAAGCTTAAGGGAAACTCAGACAAAAACATAAACATGTTCTTATGAGTGCATATGAATAAACAATAAAACTCTGTCAGAACAACCTTGCACTCGCTCTGAGGCAGGAGGGGGTAATCCCCAAGGATACAGCCATGCCTGACAAACAAATGAGTTGCTATAGCCCTGATCCTAAATGAAAGGTTAGAGAGGCAGATCCCAGCCTCCCAGTGCAGGGCCAGATCAGGAGCTGCTTCTCCTCAGGCAGAGTAGGTAACATTACCTTCCAGCCCCTGGTGAGGTGGGAAACAAGAAAAACCTGGTTTTGCTAGGATAAGGAGCTTGGAATTATTTTCAAGCTACATGGGGACTGAAATCAGCTGGCACAGTAAAAACATTCACCTGTCAGATAACATCATACTTCATATGACAAATATCAATTCCTGTTTTAAAAACACAAAAAGGAGAAAGGACAGGGCAGGTGGTATAAAGCAGGAGGATGCCTCAGGAAGCAGAAGGATGCCTCCCTGTGGTCTAATTACTGCATGGAGATGTGCACACACTTCCCGTGGGCTTTGAACCATGGAAATATCCAAGCAACCCCTCCAATTGCTCCTAGCTTCCCAGGGGGACAACCTGAAGCAGGGGAGCCAAAGGCACCCTCCATGAAGGAGGTAGCTAGGGCTGAGCATAGAGGTTTTATTCCATGTGTCCATACCAACAGCAGTTGGATGACAAGCAAAACATGAAAGGAGCTGGGTGAAAAGGAAACACAGACACCAAGACTGAAAACTATAAGCAGCAGGGATACTCTCCCTGCCTCGCAACCAGCCAGCTTCCAAATGCTGTCAGGAGTAGTTTGCTGTGCATGGGAGACTCAAAACAGCACAAGGATCAAAAAGCACTCTGGCCCCTGAGGCATACAGCTAGCAGGATCTCCTGCTGATGCATATGCACAACTCTGATGTGTGAAAAAACAATAAATCCTCCTACTCCGCAAATTAAATGTTTGTTTCTCAACAGCATCAGTGCTCAGTGGATCAGTTTCCCAAATCTTAATGTCTACAAAGTTTTCTTAAAGCATATGAAAAAGGACCATGGAGATGAGGTTTTGTGTCTGTGTTAGGCTGCGAGTTGTCAGCAAGCCAGCATTTTAGATGCAAAGTTTCATTCATAATTGAAGAAGCGGCAGAGGGGATTTTACAGTAGCATTAATAAGTGATAGACAC